CATTCCTGTTACTCCCTGGTTGGCACTAACAAAAGGCCTCTGGCCTGCCTTCACAAAGCCCTCTGGCAGGACTGCTTGGCCTGGGGGGCCTGGGGGGCCTGGGGGCCCCGGGCGCCCTGGGAGGCCAGGCTCTCCAGCGTGCCCTCTTGGACCTGGTGGCCCAGTAGGTCCATTGAGACCTTTAGTTGCTATGCCAGCTGGACCAGGAGGACCCGGGGTTCCTGGATCCCCTTTGGATCCAGGGAATCCTGGAATGCCTGGTGGCCCGATGGGACCTCTAGTACCTGGCGTTCCAGGGGCACCTCTTGGCCCAGCCTTACCATTGTGCCCAGGCACTCCCTTAGCTCCTGCTGGGCCCTCAGGGCCTGGGAGGCCAGGACGTCCTCTAATTCCAGGGTCACCTTTTGGGCCCGGCAACCCTGGGTTACCCTTGGGACCACTGAAACCCGGTTCTCCTGGGTACCCTGGTTTTCCATCTAACCCAGAGGAGCCCCTTTCTCCCTTAGCCCCAGGGTATCCTGCAGGCCCGACTGGCCCCATCTCACCTTTAGGGCCTGGGATCCCGTGGTTGCCTGGAATGCCTTTTGGTCCTTGGGGTCCCATATTCCCAGGGGGTCCAGTCAGACCTGGTTCCCCGGGGTGACCTGCTGGGCCTTGTTCCCCTTTGGCACCCGGACCCCCTGGAAGGCCTACAGGTCCTCTATGTCCTTTCAGGCCTGGCAAGCCTGGTTTCCCAAAGCCAGGAGCCCCTGGGGGCCCAGCTATTCCTGGAGCCCCAGGGTGACCTTTTGTCCCTGGAACCCCTGGCTGGCCTGGGGCTCCAGGGGCTCCTGGCTTTCCAGTACCTTCTGGTCCTTGTTCCCCAGGAGGACCTTGGGGGCCTGGTGGGCCAGTTGGCCCCCTTTCACCTGGAAAGCCCCGATCACCTTTGATACCTGGCTGGCCTGGAAACCCATTTTCACCGCTTTTCCCCACTCCAGGGGGGCCAGGTGGTCCCATGGGACCCTGAGGACCTGGGAGGCCCCTGTCACCAGGGCGGCCAGGAGCACCATATCCCGTTTCCCCTTTCTGTCCATTCATACCAGGGACTCCTGGTGCACCCTTTTCTCCAGGAAAGCCCCTGGGTCCCGGGGCTCCTGGAGGTCCCTGTGGCCCAGGTTTTCCTGAAACAGAAATTCCAGCTGGGCCGGGGATTCCAGGTGGCCCTGGCGGGCCCCGTAGTCCTGGTAAACCAGCTGGTCCAATATCTCCCTTTGGTCCATATGGTCCTCTCTCCCCTGGTTTTCCTGGGAGTCCTGGCAAACCTGGCTTCCCAGTGGCTGATGGTCCCGGCGGTCCTGGCAACCCTGGCTCTCCTTGGGGTCCAGGACTTCCATAGCCTGGTTTTCCTGGTGGTCCAGATGGACCTGGGTGCCCTCGAGGTCCAGCAGGGCCTGGTGGACCAGGAATACCTTCCTCTCCTCTTACTGATATACCTACAAAACATGCCCAGTACACATACCGGGTCCGGGTGGGGGGTGGTTAGTAATGCTAAGGAATCATTGCTTCTCAAAATATAAATGAGGACAGGACATTGCAGTGTCAGTCAGACCATTTTGGCAGACTGGTCTTAAATGGTTTGACAGTACATTTTATATTATTTTAAAAAACACTGCTAGAGAAGATGATTTCACAAGATCATGGCTACCATAGTACTTTCATTGCATCCTAATGATCCATGAAAATAAGCTGGGATTGAAGAATTCATTTAGAATAAGAGTGCATTGGAGGGAAATTTATCACATTTATTTTAGGAAAATCATCTACCTAGAAAGGAAGGGGGGAAAAAAGGCATTTGACAGATAAAGAAGAAAAAGGCAAGTACAGAATAAATGGGAACAAGTTTAAGAGCTATAACAACTTTCCCTCAAAAAAGCTATCCTATAAGATAGGGGAGAAATGCAGTCTGTTTTAATTTACGTCTGCCATGACCCTGCTGAAAGTTTAGATTTAGAATGACTTTTTTTTTTACCTCAGTACTTATTGTGAGCTCGTACATTCTCTGTTATTGACTTAACATTGAAACAAGGAATTAGAGAATTAATGGGCAAGATACATAGTGTTAAAGTGCTTATATAAAGTGTTCTTTGATTAATGCAAATATTGTTGATTTCATAGATCTGTGGGTTCATTTGAGCTAAGTACTTATACTGATATAATAAATTTAAACTAAAAAATTACTTATTCAGTGCCTGTGATGTGAAGCATGCTATTGAGCGACAAGTATAGGAAAAGCGCAAAACACCTCCTATAAGAGCTTTAATCACAAAGAGGATAAAACAGGTGTCCATCTGATAAGTGCTTTAAGAGGTGTCCAGGGTTTTAGTTTTCATCAGGTGGGATGTAACAGACATTGCTGGCATTAGGATATACCATTACAGAAGCATTCCTATGTCAAAGAATCTTTAGGCAGCATTATCATAAGCCTTTAGATAAAATA